ATGCGCTAATCAAATGAGTCCCAAGCTACGTAACCTAATGCGCTTAATAGTTAATAAATAAACAAATCTGAAGCTATTTAACCAAATACCTCGTTAGACGTTAGCCTGTTAAACAAGGGGACAACAAGTCATATTAGTCCGTTGCTCGGCTAAAGTTGCTTGGGACTACTTTTTTTGCTCGTTATTTATTTATATGATTTTCAACGGTAAATGAGCTCGTTATATGACTTGTTGTTCCCTCAGTTATCAGGTTAACATCTTGTGGGTTATTGGATTAAATAGTTGGGATTTGTTTATTTGTTATCTATGGAGCGTATTGGGTTATGCAGTTCGGGATTCATTTAATTAGTGCATCAGGTTAACTACCTTGAGATTAGGTATTTTATAAGTATTAAGCACGTTGTTTTACATAACGCCGTTCTTTGGCGCTCTTGTATATATAGCTGATCCTACCAGACTTACTAGATCTATCCAACCCGAGACTGACGAGTCTGTGAAGTCAGGTCAGATAAGTAATCAGACTCACCAGACCTGCAGACCCAGGTCAGATGAGTCTAGTAGACGTCGGGTATTTTTAATATTTCTGCCCATAATATAATACCAAGGTCACATTCTTGAACAAAAAAGAATGGCTGAAAAGTAAGGTTGAATTTTACGGCCAGATGAGAAGTTAAGATCATTCAATATCCCTGCAAAGAGGTTATGTTATAAGTCGATAGGCTGGCAGTTTTAAAGTGGGCTCTCAGCCTAACGTGACTACGACAGCACATAGAAGCTCACTTGGAATCGTATAAGCTTCAGAGACTACGACAGCATGAATAGACTGGCTCATATTCGCATTTAAATTCCATGACAACAATGAACCGGCGGCCATATCGAATCCGCCATGTTGATTTCAGATAACCTAACACTAATGTTGATATCGGTGATCTACAAAGTTAATTGCATAAATGAAAATGTATTGTAGTTATTCTTACGGATTGATAATTGGACGAAATATGAAATCTGACGTGAATTCGTATAATTAAACTTTCATGAATTTTTTGCTCTGAATACATGCATTTAATCGAAAAAGTACAGGATACAATTTTTACTAAGAGTTGAACGAGAAATACGATACGATTTTTTTTAGAATTATTTTTGAATATTTTCCAAAATCGTCCACCATATTGGATCAGCCATTTTTAATTCCGAAAGCTTAACTACACACTCATCATCAGCAGCCTCCATGAAAACTAGTAAGTTTTTTATCTGATAGCAACACTTTCAGACTCAAGCGAAAAAGCGTCAAATTTGGTGACCATAATGTTAAGCGCAACCTAGTGCCTGTTCCCGTTCCAAGCAGCGTTGGCCACGATGGTCAAAAGTTTGCTGTCAACCGCAACCTTCAGAGCGCTTCTTTATCAGCGCCACCACCGGCCTAGCTGTGAACTATCGCTGATGTACATATTCGTACAGATCTACATACAGTTCACAGCGATAGTTCACAGCTTGGTCTTTGGTTGCGCTGATAAAGAAGCGCTCTAAAGGTTGTGGTTGGCAGCAAACTTTTGACTATCCCGACGATGGTTCCAAGCCCACTATGCAAAAAATTATGGAAGTAGAATTTGTTATAAAATTAATAAAAAAATGGTGTCATACGTTGCGAAGAAAATTATTTAAGCTTAAAAACTTAATAAAGAAGGGTTATATAACCTCAAATCTTTTTGAAAATATGTTTAAACGATTCTACGTAAAAAAATCTACAAAATTTGACCCTTTTTAAAAATTTTTTTTTTCTTTGCAAAATAATTGGAAAGAATTGGGTCAAAGAAAATACTTCAAATTTGTGATCGTCACTGACGGTTTTGGTGTTGGTGAAAAATTCTGAAAAGGACTATTGATTACCATCGATTTTGGCCTCAACTATTTTTTGACGGTTTCACTTGATGTGGAATGCCCTACATATATATAATAACTGCTTTTAACACAGTAACTGCTTTTTATCATGTTTATACGCACTTATAGATCAAAGAAGCGTATGGTTGTTTGTGACCATAGAAATTTCAGCTTATGCATAACCTATCTGATAACGAATATTTTTTTTTTTTACAGATAGTAATCAAGATTTCTTTGTTTAAAAAAGTTTTAAGTTATTGTAAAAATAAAAACAAATTTTTCCCAGGTACAGATTAGACCCACAACCATCTGATCACTAGACAATGGCTCTATACCATTAAAGTACGGGGAAACTGCATTCGAACGCATCATAGGTTCAGATAAACTTTTGTCTTGGTTGAACTGTTTAAAAAAGTGTGCAAGCCTGTGTAAACTTCTCCATATTCAATACAATAGCAATAGTTTTTTTGTTGGTGGATTTATGATTACACTTAAGCAGAGAAATACTGTCGATGAGTGGGAGTTCCTCTCTTGTTTTAATTAAAAAAAATTATTTTTCAAGCAACATAAATTTAACCGGTAAGCAAGGCATAAGAAAATAGTGAATAAGTTCAAAATGGGGTTATTTGTGGAACCTGTTTCAGTCGCCTTGAAAATATGATCCCACTATTAAAAATAAAGTTTTTTCCAAGCGAAGTGAACGCTCAGGTTTTTATCAACCAAATACTGTAAAATATAACTATTTTTGCAGTGGGATAAGGAAAGTTACTAAAGATAATTTGTTCTCTATTTGAAGATCTGTCAATCTTTGGTAACCAGATTTTCACAAACAGTTTATGATTTGATAACTCTTGTAAAGACTTTAAGTCATACACAATGCTTTTGTTATCAAGTTATGAATGAAATTATGAAACCATACTCAATTTTAAAATGTAATAAGGCTTTTTAAAAAAAAAAAAAATTTTTAAATAAAATAAAAAAGGTTTTTCGATAGTTATAGCTAAAAAAAACTCTGTCAGTTTTTACGCTAATAATAACGAAATTAATAATATCTTAAATATCATAGCTTTAGGCAAATTAGCAAAAAAACTGTGGTACGTTATTTTTGAATATTGTTATTAAAAAACTAGCATTTTTAAAATAAGTTTTGCTCTCATGTATTGTTTCTACTAAAAAAATTATTTTACTAGCTTCTAATGTATTTTTTCAATGTTATTTACGCTTTAATACTTTTCTCGCCAATTCTGACTTTCGTTAAAAAAATTTGCTTACACTACCTTAAGCATTATATTAGACGGATTTCTATGACAACATAAAAACCACTAAATCTGAAAAAAATATTAAAACAAGTTGCGTGCTCATATTGAAAAGGATGTGGAGGGATATGCCGTTTTAAAGTAGTGGGACACACTATCCAGCAGTTTGCAAGCATTGCGAAGGAGAGAGCTCTGCAAATGTAAAAAAAGCTGTCATATCACTCACTCATAATAAAAATGTTACTGATATTGATACTATACCAAACAGTGACAGTGATTATAGTCTATCTATGAAAATACGAAAAACACAAACTGTAGAATGCATATAAGGAAGTCTACAAAAATATCTCGTTTTCGTATGCCACTTCTTTTCAGGCACGCCTTTAAATTCAAGCTTATTTTACTCGTTACTTTTTGTACTATAAGAAAAAAACATTAAGCGCTGGTTCCAGTGAGGTTAATAGATTTTTTCTGCCATTTACATGTTCAAACTATATCAACACGTGTAGTATTAACAGATATAATTATAATATATAAATTGCCGAAAAAGAGTATCCCCTTACTAAAACCCACAATCTAATTTTTGTTTCTTATACTGCGTGATGTTACAAGTAAAATGAGTCTGGTTTGAAGGGTGTTTCCCAAAAATTTTTTTGATTAAAATGGGGGACAAAACTGGAATATGTTTTGTGGATTTTCTTACATATGTACGTAAATGTATGTTTGTAAGCAAAGAATTATTCTTGTACTTCATATTTTTTGTGATCCAATGACATATAAATAAATAACATGATCTGATTTCTTATTATAATAAGTTCCTTTATGCTACCTTTATACCACCTAGATGTCTGCAGTCGGACTTATGGCTTCTGGTATCATGCGTCAAGTAGTGTAAATAGTTTTCTTTTACGGGAATCAGTATTAGTGAAAAACTGAAAAAATAATAAATATTTTAAAATAACACACCAGAAACTATTTTTAAAAATTTTCAAGTAAAAACAATGCATAAGAACAAAATTGTTTTGAAAACCCTAATTTGTTAATTATAACGCTTTACAACAATGTAACGCCCTGTTTTTAAATTTTTATCAAATTAAGCTCTTTTGCATATAACTGGTTCTATTATTATAACATAAAAGCTTATCAACTTATTTTTCATTGATACTAGTGCAAAATTTTTTTTCAAAAAAAGGCGAGAATTATAGAAAAACTGTTTTTTTTTTTTAAACTTTTGGAATTTTTTGCTTCATAGAAATGGTAGTTCTCCTGTTTTTTATCAGGAGAGCTTCTTACGTTTTAAAATTAATTTAAGTTTTGTAACTTCATAAGTAACGTGATCCCAAAGTACTTTTTTTAATAATGGGGTTGTATTTCAAGATGGTTTTAGCAGGTTTCACTTTATTACCTTATTTTGACCCTATTGGTTGCCTTGCCTAAAGTATTAGATATCTCTATCATCCCCACAAATTTTCTCAGCCCTCACCGCACTAACCAACAAACGCTCCAGTTTTAAGGTTTTTTTACCACCATAAAACTATAAAAAAATTTATCTCTGCTGTCTGCCCATTTAAAGCAATGTAGCTATTATTATCTTTTCTCTCCTACTCTTTTTTATAACACGTCATTTCATGAACTTAAGGAATTCTAAGACTGTTTCCATTATTTACTGCCCGTGTAATAAGTTTGTAGGCGTTAGGTCCGTAAATTTACATAGTTTGTGAGCGTCAAAAGAGTGTACTTATTTGTGAAGGTTTACCTATACTCAGTAATTAAATCACGTAAAAAATACAGCAACCATCGATGATAACTAAAATACCACTACAAAATCTAATGAACGAGGGTGTAAAATATAATTTAGTGGATAGCATGGTTTCAAGTGAATAATGTTTAGATAAAAGTCAATTTAAGTAGAAAACCGAATAGTTTANTATTATTTGATTGGCTATGCATTGCAATAAAAAATATGTCAGCAAGGCAACAGCTTGTTTGGTGCCTTTTATGTGAAGATTGTCGAGTCTATTGCAATCCATAGCGAAACGCAAGGTTAACGTCTTAACTTGCTTTCAGACAGTGGTCGTAATGATCATGTGGTTAGTCAAGTTGATGTCTTCGTAGATCTTTTTCAATTAAAAAATCCAGTAAACGTAAATGTAGGAAACGGTAAAAGTTTAAAAGTGACTTAAATAGGATAAATTTTGAGCTATTTTAAAGTGTACAATAAATTAGTAAGAATTGGATTGTCTCATATAATTAATTTGTATTTGTCTAGTTTTTGATGTTTTTTTATTTATTAATTTTTTTTTTTATTGAGAACTACGAAATTCATACAATTATGTTTCTTAAAGGTTTCGTATGCAAGACCCAGCAGTGAGGCGATAAAGGGTGCCAACCTATATGTAAGTGGTTTGCCAAAAAATATGACGCAACAAGATCTTGAAAATCTATTTAGCCCATATGGGCGTATCATCACCTCTCGGATACTATGTGACAACATGACTGGTAAGTCTAACTAGTAGATAGTTCAATGTACAGTAGTCTAGGATGTATGATTAATAAAATGACATACCATCAAAGTACTGCTCAATGTACGCTATTAATATATTTTTTGTGATAAATACCTACTTACGAAGCGTTTTAATTTTTTGGGTTTTATTGTAAGTAAGTACATATAGTCTTGTTACAGTAACCATTGTTACATTATTGGTCTAAGTAATACAGTATTGGTTACATGTTACACGTTTTTTAGATTTGTCCAGAATAAAGAGAGATTTGTCATTAATTAAGATTAACCTATGACTTTGTGTTTTTCAATATTACATGGCATTTTTCGGAAATCAAAATATCTGGATTTCATGCAGTAACTGATTTTTGTAACTGTCTTCCAGCTAATTAATCGAAAATAAAACATACCCTCACTGTACATAAATTTGAAACGAAAGATAATCATTAAACATTATAGAAACCAGTTCCTAAGATCCTTAAAAGTTAATATAATCATGCTGTCATAAGCTATTGAAAACAGCCGACTCTTTTTTTCGAGTAGAACTGGACTTCTAAGACAATTATTGTTGTTAAATTAGTAAAGTTATAATATCATCAAACAAATACTTAACGGTACTCAATACGTGGTGGAAAAGTTATTCAAATATGTATTTATGGGCTTTTACGATTTAAAAGGTACCGCACCAATTACGTTAGTCAAAGTAAGTCTGTAAGAGAGAGATCCGACTTTTTGACATTTATAGGTCAGAGGTACGTGCTCATGTCCTATCATTTAACATTAGATCTTTGAGGACCGTTTAGAATTTTTATTACTTTGTCTTTAAAACACTGACTAAGGTAAGGGACCAAGTAATAGATAACGACCCAGTAGTACAAAAGCTCAATGCTTATGCATTGAAAATTCAACCTAACATACTTATGTTTCAGTACAAAATACATAGTTATCGACTTCTGGCTGCGTTATTGGCTACTTGATCTTTTGTATTGATGAATATTTTTCTTGTAAGAGATATCTTAACAGGTTCTGTAGCACTTATGGTTGTAATTTCGTCGAAATTTTTTTGTTAGTCCAAAAAGCATTTTATAATGAAAAATAAATTTTCACTGTCTCCCATTAGAGGCCCTGTTGAAATGCAAGAAATAGTTTAATTAATTTTTTGGTCAAGAACAAGTCTGGGAGCTTAAAATTTTGCACGTACTCTATTTATTAGCTTATCTACTTGTGGAAAAAACTTAAATAAAATTTTTTCGTTAATTTTTTATGCTGTAGGATCTCCTTAAAATTTTCCTGTATGCTCTGTGCCATGTTACAAGCAGATATATATGGAAGATATAAAGTGCAAGTCATTAATACATTATTTGCTATGTTACAATAAAATAAAAATAGGGAAAGTTCCAACATTCATGCAAAAAGCTGAGCTTTTACATGCTATAAGCACAACTGAACAATTTATGTTTAAGGCAGAAATTGTAGCTTGAACATAAATTTCAACAGTTGGGTTACAACAATGTTTTAACAGATCATATACTGACTTCATCTTTTAACGATCCAGAACTTTTGAATTTGAAGACTTTCACGCACGCAGAAAAATTATATTAGACTAAACTAAGAGTTGAGGCTCAAGGGTTTTCCAAAAATAGTATAAGCCACAACTCTTACTGCAAAGAAAAAATCTGATAATTTGATAAGATCAAAAGTATTTTTGTCTAATTTAATTGAAGTATGGGGCTTTGTAAGTATTTAGGAAGTGCTTTGTGGTCAATGTTATATGTAAGCCACAACCTTATCTAATAAATAGAAAATAAAACGTTACCTATGTAAAGTGCAGTTGTAGCAAGGTATTATCGATTCACTACCTGAAAATTGCCCTCTTTGAAAAAAAGCACCCCTACTTAAAAATCATACCAACCAATACTTTGCCACTTATTTTTTTACACCAGTTTGTATCAGATATCAAAGTTGCATTAATTTTTAGATTTGATAAAAGAGAAGAAAAAAACTTTTTGTCGCTAAAGTTGGGAAGCCACACAACTTATCCAACACTAATATTATCTACCAATTAATTATTTATAACCTTAGATTAGTATTTATAAATACGAGCAGCATAAAATGCGAACGCAAAAAAAGTCATTTGTCCCCCTTTTTAATTCGTAATTGGCTGCAATTCTTATTTCTAAGTTAGGTTATTATGAAAAATAATTCGTAATAGTTGTGGCAGGTATTGTTTTCATGTGGGGTGTCCATTATTTACTGAATCGATTTTAAGGTAGTAAATAAATTATAATTTTGCAACAAATGGCTCTTTGTGCAAACCAATTTTTATTTTCTGTTCGTTGAATAAAAATGTGGCTGGAATAAATTATTGACTTCATGGGACTTCTCGAATACCAACAAAATCCTTTACCAGAATAAAATGTGATCAATTATATCCCTACGTACTATGACGTTTATCAATTTCTGTAAGGCTGTGGCTGATATTATTTTTTCATCACCATCGGGCCTCAACTCTTAGTTTATATTAATTTCATAGATTCTAACAGCTTCATAATAAAATATAGGTACATAGTGGGAATCGCAAATACAACGTATTTAATACCTAAATGTCATAATGGGAATAATAGTTATGAGGTTTATTACAAAGATTTTTGAAATTCGTTTCTTGTAACTAGGATTAGAAGGTTAAAACTGTACTTAAAAATTTCAGCCAAGATCTAGCTTGAAATCTTAGCTAAATTGTAAAAATATACACACAAAAAAAACATTGAAAAAAATACTATCAAGACTTAAACTTGGTAGTTTAAAGCATAAGTATTTATTAATAATTGATTTACATTAATCAATATTTTGCTGTCTTGTTAATAGCCTCTGCAGAATTAAAAATCATGAAGATGATAAGATAACACGCATCATGACAATCCATGGTGACTATAATTCAGTCCATGTATTGCCAACCCTACTTAGTTCCAATAAAAGTCATGTTTTCAATAATTTAGTTTTATTACAAACATACAATTTTTTCTTCTAAAAAGTCCTATTAAGGTCGCACTGACATGTAGTAGGTAAGTTTTCCTATATATCAATGCCACCTTAATAGAACTTTTTAGAAGAAAAAATTGTTATGTTCATGATATAATTAAATCCTTAAGAACATGACTTTCATTTGAACTAAGTAGAGTTTGGCAGTATGTAGACTAAATTATAGGCACCATAGGTATCTATGATGCGTGTTATCTTAGTACCTTCATGATTTGTAATGCTGCACAGACCATCAGCAAGACAGTGAGATATTGATTGATGTAAATAATTTATTAATAAACAGTCATGCTTTTAGCTGCTAAGTTTGAGTCTTACTATTATTTGATTGGCTATGCATTGCAATAAAAAATATGTCAGCAAGGCAACAGCTTGTTTGGTGCCTTTTATGTGAAGATTGTCGAGTCTATTGCAATCCATAGCGAAACGCAAGGTTAACGTCTTAACTTGCTTTCAGACAGTGGTCGTAATGATCATGTGGTTAGTCAAGTTGATGTCTTCGTAGATCTTTTTCAATTAAAAAATCCAGTAAACGTAAATGTAGGAAACGGTAAAAGTTTAAAAGTGACTTAAATAGGATAAATTTTGAGCTATTTTAAAGTGTACAATAAATTAGTAAGAATTGGATTGTCTCATGTATACTATATCACAAAAATAAAAAAAAAATTTCTCAAGTTTATCAAAAATTACAGATAAAACTAAAGTTGTTGCTCAAAATAATACGGCAAAAATTTGTAACAGTTAAAGTGCACTTTCAGCTATCAGGTATAAAACAGATAACTTATACAGAATGCAAAGTAAAATTCGAAATGATTAAGAGATTACCGCTAACATTATGAGTTCCAAAAATAATGATAAAATTACTTTAAATGATAAATGGCATCGTATTTTGAGGCATGTAAATTTTAAATATTTGAATGTTTTATGTAAAAATTAATTAGTAAAAAGTCTGCCCAAAGAAATTGAAAATGATTATATGAAATGCGCTATTTGCTTGGAAAATTAAATGCACAATTCACCGTTTAAAAATAATAAGCAAAAGGCAAAGGAAATTTGAGAAATAGTACATACTAATCTGGATACATCTAATAATAGTATATACATTATTAGTATATATAGGATTAAAAGGGAAAAAATATTTTTAACTTTAATTGACAACTATAGTGAAATAGCCTAAGAATATCTCATTAAATAAAAGATCAAGTCTATGATTGTTTTGTGTCATGTATAAATAAAGTTGAAAGTATTACCAGAAAAAAAAATTAAGGTGTGACAACGGAAAGGAATATATAAATCAGAGAATTTTAGATTTAGTAAAAGAAAAAGGAATATTTCTAGATGCATGTCCACCGTATGTGCACTAATTAAATGGTACTGTAGAAAGATATAAGAGAAGCATTATGAAAATTGCTTGATGTTTGTTGTTTGAAGCTAGAATAGATAAAAGATTTTAGCCGGAAGTTGTATGTGTGCAGCATATTTAAATAACAGGACACTTTCAAATATTGCTGATTTTTAAACTCCTTTTGAGTTATTCTTTAGTGTAAAACCTAATGTTAAACATTTGAAAATGTATAGAAGCAGAGTATTTCTACGTGTACCTGAACAATGAAGAAGGTCAAAATGGGATAGCAAAGCAGATTTAGGAATCCTTGTAAGTTCTGAGATCGTAGGATACACAGTTTTGATAAACAATGGGATTATCGTAGCTAGACATGTTGATGTAATTAAAAATGATGAATATTGTATTGAATTAAAGGATAACGATGAAGACGAATTAGAAAATAAAAATGAAATTGTACATGACAAATCCGAGTTAGGCGGAGAATATAAAGATACTGAGTATGAAAACGACAATGATGTTATACTGAGAGAAAAAATGAATGTCAAAATAAAAAAGAGAACAATGTTATTAACAGTATACTGAAAATTATTGTTAGGCGTCCAGAAAGATATGATGATA